GTTGCTACTTTCGGAATATATAATTTATTTGTGATCATTTTTTCGTGCCCTGCTCTCGGGCGAAGCGTTGACCCCCACCCTCGCTCTCCCCTGCTCTCGGATTCCAAGTGCCAGGTGGTGTTTGAACTTGACATTTTATTCTTGACACTTTGCTTCCCTTCGTGTGAGTTGTAGCGCACCTCCGTCCCTCTCCCTCGCAGCATCCTCTTCCCTCTTCCTCAGCGTTGATGCGCTGCTCCCCTCTTCTTTCAGTACTTGTCCCACTGTCGAGTCTCCTCTTGTTCCCTCTTCTCTCCCCCTCATCTCCCCTCTAGCACCTTCCATACATCCAATCATAACCTCCCCTTTCCCCTTCATTCCTTGTCCTCCAGTGTGTGTGTGTGTTGCCCCTGCAAGACGCCCGCTCCCCCACCCCCTCATTTAGTCCTTGTAGGCTAGGCTGTGCTTTACCAGATGTTCCCCTATTCTCTCCCCTTGCAGTTATCTTCCCGTCCGATCGGCAAATAGATGTACGATCTTTCTCCCCGATTCTCTGCTTCACCTCCAAATGTCACTCATTCTCGAAGGATCGACGTCTCGTCCCTCCTCACCCCCCCCCTCACCCCCATTCCCCTCTTGTCACCCCCTACAATATTTTGAATAACGAGCGGGTATTCGCAGCAGGAGATCGTGAGTATTTGTGGCTGACATGACGCCTGGGATATGTTGTTTACAGGGTTGGGTGGGGGTGGAGATGGGAGGATGACGTCAGGGGGCCTAAATGCGCCGTCATTCTTTCTATTAATGTCTGTATAGTTCGGGTGAAGGAAGATCAACGCCAGATGCTGTCGCGTGTTCGTGTCAGCCAGATCGGAGATAGCTTTATAAGGTTGTTTGTTTTTGGTTTTGAAATAAGTTGTTGCTCCAAGCCAGGTGGATTATATGTGTCCAGGATAAAGTGCTCTTTGGATTAGGCGAGAATGGTAATCCGAGAGATCGGCGTGTGTTTGTTTAGGATTCACTTAAGCGCATACAGGCATCATATGACGCGGAAGCTCACCAGTGTGTATTTACCTCAGGGGCGAGAATCGTGATGTCTCTCTTTGTTTTGATGCCTTGGATCTTAATCTTCAAGATCTCTGTTAGTGTTGAAAAGCAATTTGGACTGTCATGATTATGCAAAACACCGAATAAAGGATATTTTTTAGAACATGATTGTAATCATGAATCTTGAAACATCATGATAGGATTGTGTGTCTAAATAGCGGTATTCACAAGAGACGCGGTGAGGCGAGGCAGCACACGCCGTCACCGGACACAGAATAATCATAATAAAGAATGTGGTAGCACGTCTTGGCGTCCTTAGCGCCGGCGTCGCCCACGCCTTCCTCGCCCTACCCCCTTCGTCATCAACACGAGTGATGACGAGAGTGCGCGCGGCGGATGCAGCCTTGCATTTGGGCGAAAGAGCTGAAGTTGCGGCCTTTCTGACTGGCGGTTGTTGAGGCGATTGAAATTTGGTTGATGAATACGAGTCGATCCGTCGGGAAACATAGCATATTAAAATTGAATTAGTTTTTGAATTACAGCTGTTACGTTACCCCTATATCTTTAATCCAAAGACTTTAAGGATTTAGAGAGGAGAGGATTGAAGGGATTTTGAAGGGAAATTGAAGCCGGATTGCTCGGAAGGGGAAGTGGCCTTGCGAGGTGGTGGTTACTGAAGTTTTACGATCGCGTCGCGCCGCCCGGGGCCGTCACGCCGGCCGGGCTATCACCTCCAAACGCTCGCGGCCTTATTCTCTGTCCTCCTCATTTTCTGTCACTTGTTGCACGCCACCTGGTTATAGTGGGGAAGACCCGCTCGGAAGTGAATTATGTTCTGAAGCTGGAAGAGGTAACAGTTGGGAGAAGGGGAGGAGGGGAGGAGGGAAGGGGGGAGGTAACGCCGGCAGGTTGTCTTCACCTTTTGGAAAGTTTTATTGAGCCCGCTTGAGGAGTCCCTGGGGCCGACGCCGCGGTGGTGTCATGGGGTTGTCGGGTTCCATAGAGGTTAAGAGACGCATGGTAGAGGGCGTCCTCGACCCCGCGGAGGGAGGAGGCCATAAAAAGAAGTTCGGTAGCGTCTGTCAGTCACTCTATAAAGCCCCGGTAGTGTGCGCCAGAGATCGTAAAGCCTGCCCGATGACTTTTGGCTGTCACTCACGCCAGGAGCCGCGCATGACGCTGGTGCCGGAAGTCTCATGCGTTTGTTTGTTCGATATTTTTCTGTTGTTTTCTCTTTTCTCTCTTGCGTTGAGCGGTTTATGTTTGCATAGTTGCAAGATGCTAGGTTGAGGTTTGCGTGACTCCGTTGCGTGGATGCTTTAAATAGCCTTCGTTTTATTCTCGATTGGCTTAATGGACTGAAGTTTAAAGAAGCTTTGTTCTCTTTAACTTCTTGCCCTCCCAACAAATTAAGTGACCCCATAGGACACACCTCAATTGATGAAGTCATTAGCGATTGCACTCGGCATCGATA